GTCGTATTTTTATAAGATGGCATATTTTAATTAGATTATTCTTTATTTGTTTAAATATTTTTATTTTATTCATTCATTTATTTATATATATATATATGTTTGGCTGGGTTGGGGAAGTGGTGGATATAATTATTTTAACGTTTTTATTCATGTAAATTATTATTATTTTCTTATTAGATTGTAATGTGCATTAGAAAACAGCAATTTTGATTTATTTTATTCATACATTTATTTTTATATATATATATGTTTGGCTGGGTTGGGGAAGGGGGGGATTTAATTATTTTAACGTTTTTATTCATGTAAATTATTAATATTTTAGTATTGTTATCTTTTCTTATTAGATTGTAATGCGCCTAGAAAACAGCAATGTTGATTCTTGCACAATATAAGTTAATTAATTATTATTATTATTATATACCTAAATACAAACACTTCTTTGTCCTGATACCTACACATTTCTATACAAGCCATATAGACTGTCTTCCTGATCGCGATACATACTGAACTGGATGAAAAATATCGGTTTCCATTTCCTCTTCACTGACGACTATTTTTTTGAAAATTTTTGAAGCACTTAGGATGCTAGGCTGTAAAACTTTTTATTTTATATCTCCTACGCGTTTCGTCTAACTCTGTACACTTCTTCAGGAAGTTTTACAATAAAGGCTTAAAGTCCTTATCTACGTATAGGAAGTAGGGCATGTAAAGGAAACAAGTCAGTACAGGACTCTAACAAGGGAGGAACATAGTTTACGGATGTTGAATAATTTTTAAATAATTTCGGGGGCAAAGATACAGCTATAACGTGTTTCCTTTTAACATGAAAATGATGATGACAATAGTAATAAAATTGAAGATGATGATGATGATCAAGATTACAATGTTATTTAAATAGTGGTGTACAATAATTATCCTGTTCATTAAATTTCTTGTTGAGTTTTATATGTTAGTTAATAGTCATTTGTTATTGACAGAAAAATTAGCATCCCCCCTACCATTGCAAAAATAATTTAACACCCCCCTTGAAAACCTGAAAAATTTTGACCCCCCCAAATTTCCTCAGCCCCCCCTGAGGTATACATAATGAACGCAGCCTTAGCACTATTTACTACTAAATAGTGCAAAGTGTTTTTCTCTACTGAAAATATTTAGTTAGGCGTTATAGGCACTTCAAGTACTATAACCCAAATTACTGAGAATTCAATAAGTCAATCAATTAAGCACTGATAGCAATGGATACAAAATTTACTTCCAACTGGTCCAAGCTCTTTGAGCTGGTGTAGGCTGATTCTGCATTAGCAATGTTCTGAATATACAAGTTTTGTTGAAGGGCAAGTGCAGATATACATGGTGTTTAAAAAAGGTATTCTGAAGGCACAAAACTTTTGTGATATTTGACTTAAAAGTCTCAAAAAATGACCTCAGGCTCAAAAAAAAAATGGCCCCAATTGCTTGGTAAGGCCAATAGTCTCCCTCACATCCATTTTTGGTGTCGGTCGTCACACAACACGCTAAAAACAGATGAGAGGGAGACTAATAGCCCAAGGTCTGTTTTTAATTAAGGCAGCGGACACAGTTTTTCTCTATTTGGTCCAGCTATAGGACATGTTTACAGTATACTTATTGTTTTCTCAATGTATTTTTTATCTTGATTTTGCATTTTTTGTTGTCAATGAGCAGCAGTTATACCAAATACCAGACTAAGATCTGAGAAAATACCTCCTGCTTACGCTGCCAATCAGAATAAATAGGACATTAGGACTGGAGAAGTTTTTTAAAAATGGAACCCAAAATTAATGTTCACCCAACAGACTCACTTACGGCAACCACTTTAAGAAAGGTAACCATTTCAACATTGAATGAAAACAAAGGAATCAAGCTTAAGTCAAACTTGAACCAAACAGGAGCATGAAACAAAGCCTGATTGATTGAGAACAAGATATTGCGATTACATGGCTGAGGTCGATATGATACTGATATTGCTTTTTTCCTCATTGACTAAAGTTTTTTATCTGGCTAAAGTTTTTAAGTGGTCTTAGTGTGTCTGCGCTGTAACTAACCAAATTATATGATCAACATTACTAGTTATGACAAATACACGAGACATATCTAAGTCAATACTAATAACTGTCTTTTATTCAACAATTTAGAGAATATTACAGGTGTTATTAGACAAACATGTAACCATCATATAATACTTTTCCATCATATGTCAAGTTTTCAGGCCATAAAAGATAATCATTGATCTTCTTCTTGTCTTCTGGATTGTCAGGATCAAGCTTGGTGAATTTATAAGACGGGGAATCCACATTCAAGCTTTCGTCAAGCTAAGAAACAAAGTAGGAAAAGGTAAAAAACAAAGATTAATAAGTCTTTCCATAAGAAAAGTAAAGCTTTATGAATGAAATGTAAAAACAAACTAAAAATAGTTTTTTAAAAATTGGCTGACATTAGAGTGAGGGCATTTAACCCATGAAATAAAAAATGTAATTCAATGTGTAATAGTCAAAAAGACACAAAAGAAAACAATGTCATTAGTGTCTACTAAAGTGTATTAGTCTAGTATCTAAATCTAAAGCACAAGTCCTTCAGTGGAGTAAGAATGTGTTTCCTTAGCTATTCAAAAGAAGTGGGATAATTGCATTATAACCAAATATCACTAAAACTTATTAACTATAATTAACTGGAATGCAAAAAATTAGCTTTGCCAGATTGAGTTGGATGAGAGATAATAAAATATACAACTGAAAAAGTATCATCCAAGCACTAACATCCAAAACCTTTTTGCAGACATTTTTACATTAAGTTCTCTTCTTATTCACTTGTTATATTAAAAATGACAAAATTAAGAGTAGTTTGTTTAATCAAAAATAGGGCCAAATTATGGATTATCAGTTATTGTGATACCTGATAATTCTCATCACAACAAATTTGAAAGTATAACAAATTTCCTTTTATGAGGATGAGAGGCAAGGAATAAACTATGATAAAGTGTTTTTAATTCAATGAATTACATTGTTCATCAGTGTTGCAAGTAAGCAGAGCCTCTTTTTAGTTCTGTCCTGTGCTTCATGGTTTTTTTTCTGGATTATCCGGTTTTCCTGCCTCCTTAAAAATCGATTTCTAAATTTCAATTGCCACGCTGTGATATAACAGCTGGTTTCTAACAGCCAAAGCTCCAAGATTTAACTAATAAGCATAGACAAGTTTTTTTGAAAGTTAGGGGTCACACTACAAACTGTGATATAATCAAGAGTAAACAAAATTGCACCAGATTTGTTTCAAGTGCAGCCTGGGCCAAAGGCTCTAAACCCACACACCTGGCAGCCTATGGTTTCGTATAGAAGGCAAAAGGAAATCCTTTCAAATGAATGCTTTGTAAACTTGCATTTTAGAAAGCTTTAAAGCTAGGGCTCTAAACTCACATCAAAAACAAGTTGCTGTCCTCTCAGCACCCAAATACCAGCAATTGCTGCATCATTGTCTTTACCAAACAATAAAATACTTCCAAAGCAGGTCTTCATGATCCTTTCTAGTCGCTGGAACATGCCCTTGACTAAGTTAGCAGTCATAAACATCCTGGCTAACTCATCATTGTACTTGTACTCAGCAAACCAGATGGAATAGCCCTCTTTATCCAGATTTTCCCAGAAATATGGGATAGCTACTTTTTCAGTGTCCTCATTACAGTAGACTTTCTTCCAAGCATCCATACTCATTGAACTGGAAGACAAAACATTTAATTTTACTACTAGATTATATACACTGTATTAAGGCTGTAAAAAGCTTGTGCTACAATTAAGTCAAGAAATAATGTTTATGTCATTATGATGTCACATGAATTTTAAAATGCTTATATGAGTTAACCCAATAATAATTTTTCAGATGTTTTTGAGTAGCAACACTGCTTTAATGCTCATTAACGATTATGGTCAGAGAAGTCACTTTTTCCACAACATTTAAGAGTATTTTACAATTCGAGATAACATCAAATTGGGTGACGTTACAAAATACTTTAATCTTTAATAACTTTAGTTTAAAATGTTGTTGCAAGTTCCCATAAACATTGAAAGGTTTTGCAGAACGCTCTCCATCTGATCAAGTCAAATGATAAAGACAGCGATCAATGATAAGAAATTACCAAAAAAGGAGATGCCGAATATGCCATCATAGACACTTGGTTTCACATTTTGTAATGACAAGATTTTTCTAAATAGGTGTATATTACATCAGGAGTTTCTATACAAGTCATGCTCCAATATCAGATATTGCTTATAGGTTGTTTTATAAATATTAATGTTTATACTATTGAGGTGAACCCCCCCCCAAAAAAAGACAGAAAACACAGAAAGAGGTGGGTGCAAATAATCATGACACAGCACTTACGTTGGAGGCAAATCACTAAACAGTTCTTTCTTCTTTGGTTTGGGTTTCTCCTCTTCCTGCTTTGCCTCTTTTTTTGTCTCCTCTTTCTTTGGTTGTTTTTTTTCTTCTTTTGGGGCTTTTTTCTTGTCATCTTTTTTAGGATGAAGGGCTGCATACTTCTTTCCTAATATCAAATTGGCATTTCATAAGAAAATTTGTTATTTTTTAATTCAAACAAACAAACAAACAAACAAGACAACTCTGAAACCTTATCATTTGTCATGGAGTAAACAAGCAGTCAAAACAACTTACCATCAAATTTGGCCATACTTTCACAAAGCTTAACATCACCAAGGATATTTTTGAATTGAGGTTGATTGACCAGAGTAACAAACCACCTGTTGACATTTCCATATGGGGCACGGAAAGCTCTATCCATTACCTATCACACACAACCTCTTTTATTAGATTATCTAAAATCAGTGTGACTCTAATGAATAAATGAATAATAAATAAATAAAATCAATGAGACTAACAGTGGATTCCACAGAGTGGCTCTTCCAATGAATTCCAATTGCTATTTAAAGTTGATTTTTATGCAGGGAGAAAAACTGGAGAACCCGGAAAACCCTCAAAGCACAGGAGATAATCTACAATATTAACTCTACACCCGTACGACACTGAGCACTGTGGCACTCAAACCCAGGTTGCAGTGGTGAGAGGCGAGTGCTCTCACTGCTACGCTACCCATGCTTCCTTGAATGAGGAAAAGTTGGGAGATAACAAGAACTCTACTCACATAAGCAGGGTTCGTGCCGAGGTAACGACTTACAATTCAAGGACTATTCAAGGAGTGTACAAGGATCCAAAAATGAATTTTCAAGGAGTATGTTCAGCTAACTATGCTAAGGTTTTACTTGGTTGCACATGGTCGACTTTCAGGTTTTCCGATCTTTCTGACTAGATCTATTTCAGAATCATGCAAGTAATGATCAAAGCAAAAATCCAAGTAGTTTCGCTAACATCATAAAATTCAAGAGCTTTTCAAGTGCCCTTAAAAACGTGAATTAAATTCAAGGAGTTTTCAAGGAGTTTAAGGAGTAGCACAAACCCTGCATAAGACAATGGGGTCACAACAAGTGAGAGTAAGCTATGCCGCCAGTGTTTAACATACATGATCTTTGATTTGTAAACTTACTTGTTTGTAGAGCATCAAAAGATTGCAACAGACAGCAATGTCAGCAAGTGTAACTCTCTCTCCAACAAGGAATGTCTTGGTCAACAGGGTGTTGTTTAGGATGGTGAGGTATTTCTTGACATCTTCCATGGCTTTATCAGTAGCCTATAAAATAAAAAGGAGGTTAATTTAGCATAATCACAAAGGCTACACAAAATGCTTTCTTTGCTATAACAAAAATTCTTTTGTCATAAGGTTTTGATGCATGTCTAAGTAATACTAGTGGTAACTAAATTTAAGGTTTATAGTTGTTAAAGCCATAGGCTACACCAATAATTATAGAGAAGTCAAAACAGGTGTATGAAATTATTACCTGTTTCTGGTACTGCATGAGTCCCAGAGTTGGAAATACCCAGGTGGCAGCTGCTGGCAGGATTTCCTGGTCAGCAAAATTGATGTATTGTTGAATTAATGCTGCATCCTCCTTGTTGGTCCCATAAAGATTTTCATTTGAGACTGAAAATGTAATAATATCGTAAACTACAAATAGAACTGATAAAGGTAAATCTGATTTCATACACATCTGAGACCTAGAATGATCTTTACAATCTTATAAAATATAATATAGCATAGCAATAAAATAGTTTCCTAGCTAGGTAGGAAGCCATTTTATTGCTATGCCATAGATATTATGGCACAACCCTGAAGCTGGTTGGATTACCATTTATAAAATAATTGGGATACTACGTGCACTTTGATTGGTCGAAAACCATGTTTGATGAGATTATCAAAACACGCTATCATCATTTTTGCACGCGCAGGTATTGCAACTGTCAGATTTTAATCTATCGCCCGCGCTCATTGGACAGTTTGAATAAGATGGCACGTAGGGAGAATTTACTTATACTTTGCTGTTTTTCAATCTTTTCTCACGTTTGTTATTTTATAAAACAAATCAAAAACAGTTTTCCGTGTTTGATACTCTGATGTTGGGAGAACACTTGGGATGTTGGGAGAACACTCGAGAAGCTGGAAACCACTCCGCTATGTGTTGTGGTTTCCTACGCTCCTCTCATGTTCTCTCAACATCCCGCGTGTTTTGATCAGAGTATCAAACAAGGAAAACTGTTTTTGATCTGTTAAAAATATTCTGGACTTGTTGGATATTTGCAAGACATAAAATTAAATATGTCTTACCATAGTAGGCAATAGCATTGCTTTCATACAAACATTTGCCATCACTGGTTTCAAATGCAGGAACCTAAATATAGAGTTTACATAAAATCATAAATTTTTACTTAATTTTAATTGCAAATAAAAACAATGACAGTATCATGAGGAATTAAATGTACAATCATTTAAAAAATGGTATATTGAGATTTTTTAACTTATTTAAATTGATCACAAACTAGTGAAAATTACCTTTCCTAATGGGAACTTCTGTACAAATTCGGCAGTTTTGTTATCCTTTCCTGCTTCAAATGGTGGAAGATTTATCTTGGTTCCACTGTATTCAGCAGCGATCAAGATTTTTTGCGCTCGGAAACTATCCGGATAAGTGTACAAAGTCTATTGAAATTGTGAAAAATATAAGCAACAGTGTTTTAAAACATATGTCAATCATAATATGGCTCTTCTATTTTGAACATATGTTGTAAGATGACTAAGATTACCAATGGATTCTATATTTAATTTCTCTCTTACCCCGGCAGCCATTCTGGGATTTTAATAAGAGAAAGGATGGCTGCGCAGATTCGGTTTATATGAGACAATGCGCGCAATGCCGGAAGTGACGTTTTCCAAAATTTTTATTAATCCCGTAATCAACGCCGCTTCATTCACAAGAAAACCGTTCGAATTAGTTCGAAATACTAACTTGACTGTCTTTTATCTATAATATCTTTAGTCTCCGACCCTGAAATAAAAGTGTCTGTGTAGTTTCTGAAGTTTTTCGGGTACCCTGTGCAGTCCCATGCCAACTCGGACAGCGATAAAATCAAAATGGCGAAAAACAAGGTTGTCAAAACGTGTCCATGAACTGCAGCTTTTAATCTTGGTGTTAGTGGCTAAGCATTCTATTATAATGCCTAACTGGTTGTTCAATCAAGAGGGGATACTTCGAACACCTTCTAGACTAGATGGAATTGATTATTCAACAGAATGTCGGTACCGAAAAGAGGCCACGAGGTTCATCGTTGATTGCGGTAACAAAATGGGACTGTATCCTTGACTAACCCTGATAAACTAAACAATATATACTTCATTTCAGCTTAAAACGACAAAAGCTTTTACTGAAAGACAGAAATACAAATCAGAAGTTTTTAATTTAGGCACAGTTCATACTTTATTAGTCTCCTACCTCAGAGTTATAGAGTAGGAATAGGTATAATTTTAAAATGATCCGCCTTTACCTAATACATTTTGATTGAAAAATTAATTCACACTGATAGTAAGTAGCAATAATTACTAGTTGGGACACTGTTACGATACAATACAATACAATAAGCTTTATTTCAATTCGAATTTTTGATAGCATCATACTACTATATATTTTGCTAAAGCAGTTTTTGCATGACTGAGGGAAACTCACGGCACGAACACGRTCATGACACGGCAAGGCATACGCCAGACCAATCACATTGTACAAGAATTTACTCTTCATCCAATCAAATGTCCGAAGTGCGGCTGGGAACACGGTGTGGACACGGTCACGCCAATGTCACAGCACTGTCCAATCAATCACATTGTGCGGAAAAAAAATCCCCCAACTAAGAGTCTAGACAACATCACGGTCACTACAAAGCACGCATATAGCACCAACTTTTTCATACGAAAACTGCTCTAAGCACTAAAGTGTCGTCCAAGAACTCCTCCTAAACCACTGAACTTATGCAAACAAAAACCACACAGAATTCATGCCTTGGTCCCGAAGATGAACGGCATCTGTTTTTGATTTTAAAATATTGCACTTTTAACAATTGAGAAAATTTTTTTTTTTGTTTTCATTCAGAACAAACGCGTGTCTGCCATGACCAGGCTCCTCACTTCTATGAAAATATAAAGGGAGTCTTCAAAAACCATGAACTGAATTGATTCATTCAATTACACAACTTAGAAAAAAAATATGATTCAAAATTAACTAAATTTGAATTGCTCATTAATTAGATTGTTCATTTTACTTTAAAATGGGCCAAAACATGCCTAAAAATCATCTCTTTTTGATATCGATAAAATCTGAAAGCTATTTCATAAACATACCTGTTCAACAAAGCATGCATGGCCTAAAGGAGACTGACTTTTGATAACAATTTCTCTATTATTGGATTATTGGATTATCTGGAGTTCCTTCAATCCATTTGACACCAGTAAAGATGGATCTTGGCTTCGTCACAAAATTTATGTTATTTAAGGAATTAAATGCTGAAGTTTGAACAAGAAAACACATGACAAACGTCAGACTACCGAGCGACTTGAAATGACTTGCGGCAATCCCTTCAAGTGTCAAACTTTATGTCAAATTCTAGCCAATGAATGCATTTCTTGATAAATTTGACATTTATTAACCTTAACTTAAAAAATCCAAACATGCCAAATTAAAAAACTTAAAAAAATTGTTTCCTCATACATGTATTTCTTAAGCTTTACAAATGTAAGCCAAATTGGCAATTGTCTGCACATAAATTGTAATAATTTTACGCTTGACCTTGAAGCCATGACTGAGTACACACAACAAAACTTCAAAGTTTAAAGCTCACACGCACGACGATTGTAATAACAATGACTTATTTTCTTTCTGTCAGCTGTTAACATATTTCTCAGAATTTAAAAAAGTGAATTTATTCATGGGAAATTAACTAGTATACATGCTAATGTCTCCAAATGACTATACTCTACTAAAAAGGAAGAAAACCATTTAAATTTAAAAAATCAAAAAGTCAAAAGCTTATTTAAAATTCATATAATTTGATGGTTACCATTTAAGTAGTATTGTTGAATGTTTTTGAACTTAACAGTTCATCTTCATTATTTAAAATTACGAAACAAACAGCAATCAGCAGAAAAAATTAGATTCTTAATGGCTAATTTGAACTCATTTAATGGTAATTTATGATAAGAACTAGAATTTCAAAGCTTAGGCCCAACAAAACACCTTAATAAATGTAGACCATATCTATGACCAATCCCTGAGGAATATATCTAGATACGGTGGACCAATTCGATGTGGTGTCACAGATCTTGATCACTAAGATAGCTAGTTAGCAAAGCAATACTATTGACAGATAAGTCATATGCCTTTAATTTGCCAATTTCATGGGGTAGAAAATCAAAAGCCTTAGAAAGATCTAAACCAACAATAGCAGATAATTTCTTATTATCTTATTCAAGTTTGACATCTTCAACAATTTGTAATAAAGTAGACGGGCAGCTATAGGATTTGCGATAGGTGGACAAAAAACCAGATAACTTATTGGTGTGTTGAAAACTACACTGTACAATAATTGAATAAGAAGGAAACTTAAACTTAAAAATATTATTGATAGGGATAACCTAAGATAATTTACAAACTATTCCTCTCATGCAGCTAATGTTAATTTAACTTTTACTGAAGTACATGCTAAAAACTAGCTAAAACGTCTGTCAAAATTATTGTTCATGTATATTTAATGTTTAATGAATAATTTATTATTATTATGACGTATTCCAATATCAATTATGATCTTTAATCAAGCAACCGTAGACGATATGACACCATGGCTACAGGAGCTGTGTATTTTCACAGGTTTTATATGATACAATCCTTCAAAAACTTTTCACGTTGGGTAAGAGAATGAACATGGGCCATGAGGGCGAGAGGAATAATATTGTTTTAGTCAAATCTAACTAGTCGGTCAAATATATAGATGCAAACAAGTCCTGAATTAACCTTAAATTCAATTTTTTGGCTTTTAAAGCAGGCGCTTATTACTACTAGTAGGCTATAACTTATAGCCTACTATTAGGTTATCCAACCAGAACGCAGCATTGATGATAGACTGCTAGTTGGATTTGACTAACTTATGTTAGTTAGTATTAGTTTTTATATTAGTAACATCAACTTTTTGAACAGCTAATATCTAGGCATTTGGGAGGAAATACTCATCCAAAGTATGTACACCACAGATTTTTAATCTAGATGGAGAGTGATACCACCTGCTCTACGTGTGGGACAATCACATGCAGTCACATCTTCCAAAAGCTTGTAGCTGCAGTAGAGCATATAATTACTGCTCACCATTAATTGTTATCAAGACTCCAGTAGAGTCAAAGGCTCAAAGTATGCTTAATAGTTTTACACAGTATATCAAAAGTTTAATTCACTATACAATGTAAGGTAATATCTAGTAGTTTTGTTACGTCCAGCATCATACGTTTGATTGGCTATTGTGCACAGTCCACACTGTATGGTAAGGTGTCGGTAAGTGGTCGGCAAGGTGTTAGTAAGATGTCGGTAAGTGGTTGGTAAAATGTGTATATAGCGCTAATTCCTTTAGTTCAACAGCGCTTTACGAACATTAAAGACTCAAAAAATGTTTTAAGATTTAACGCTATCCTAATGTTATAAGAATATTTCAATTATCTTTTACTAATCTTTTACTTTTAAAAATCTTTTTAATCTTTTACATGGACAAAATATCGGTCGATTGGGCTAAAAGTATGGCCATTGAGACACCAGTAATGATGCATATTTCCCACCAAACTTGCCATAATTTCTTTCATCTAGTGCTTTTATCTAATAATTATCTAATAATAATAATAACTTAATAAATTCTATAGCGCAATTTTCCATGGCGAAATGATCAAATGTGCTTTACAATTGTAAGTGTTAATTAAAAAAAAGAGAGAGAGAAAAAAAAAGATATTTACAATAAATGATAACTTTATTGATATATAGAATGTAAACGAACTGTAAATTGTACAAAAATATGGAATCTAAGAAACTAGATTATAAAACAAGTTATCTAAAAAGTAATAAACTAACAATACATGGCTATTGGTAACAATTATTAATACTAAGCTAATTTAAAATAATGTGTCTTAAGTTTCAATTTAAAAATACCAAGAGACGGTGATGATCTAATATCTAATGCTAATGCATTCCACAGCCTAGGTTTTTTCTTTTTCTTGCTAGAGCAGGTGATTAGATTACATACATTTTCCAAAGAAAGGGACTGGAACTCTGAAAACACCACACCACTGCGAAAATCATCCTCTCTCCTTAGGACGTGGGGCGAGTCATTTTTACCCAACTTAGTGTGGATGTCACTTATTTTACGTACGAAATAAGTACCAATATAATAGCCATGGTTTTTGCATCACACAAGTCAGATAACAGGGTCTGATAACAGACTTTTGGCTGCCCTAAACAGCTTGCCCTGGTGGGAACTGTTATCATTGATAAAGTCACAGTAGTACATTTGTTGAGCTCTATTCATCAGCATAGGAGCATAATTTTTCCTCTGTTTAAATTCTGCAAGGTGTTCAACGGTCTTATTGGCTCGCCACCTACGCTCCGCCCTTCTTCTATTCTTTATTGATGTTTTAATGTCACCGTTCATCCATGGAACCTGAGGTCTGTTGACAGTTTTCTTGGATTGTAAAGGGGCATGAATATCAACCAGAGACGATACTARTGTCGTATTGTAAGAGTCCACTAGTTTATCCAAAGTATCCAGGCCGGTACTGTTTAGTAGGGGGGAAGCCATAATGTCATCACTAATAGTGCCCACATCAACAGACTTTAACCTTCGGGACACTTGGCTAGTTTGGGTTCCCTGTGAATCAATCCCCTTTAAAACAAAGTACGAATACAATTGTGTTGAGACAAATTCAAATAAAGAAGCGATTTACATCAATTAGCTATAAATTATTATTTTCTGCCCAGCCACCTTTTAATGCAATGTTGATGAAAGCTGAATAATAATGCTTAACGTTATGAGTAATAGTGAACAATCTGCACTGTACAGTAAGAGGTAGGGAAGTAATCGGTAAAGTCAATAAGTCGTTGGTAAATGGTCTGTAAGTTGGCTGTTAGTGATTGGTTAGTGGCCGGTAAGTGGTCAGCATGTGTTTTTTCATTTGAAGGTACTGCAGATGTTCTACATACTTCCTAACCAGATCCTCTGCAACTGCAAATTTCCTTGAGAAGTTCTGATGATGACAATTATAATACTCTATTTTGTAATGGCCCACCCATTTTAGTTGTCAAATTTTATCAACAGCCCATCCCTTTGAAGGAGTTAAAAATTATGTGAGCCACCCCCTGATTTCGCCTCCCCCCCACCTCCCTCTATACTTTATGACAAGTCCCTTAGATCAATTTTTCATCTCAAAGGTAAAAAATATAATAGAGGTTGATGTCACATGCTATGTGATTCCCATGCATTATCTAGCACACCATAAACAAAATTGGAAGATGTGATTTCTTATTTAAAGAGATATTTTCTTCTATTTTACAGGTAACTGGTGCTGCTTGTTTATTTCTTGCTGGAAAAGTAGAAGAAACACCTAAAAAATGTCGTGATATCATCAAAACAGCAAAAACTCTATTAACAGAACAGCAGTTTGAATCATTTGGTGAAGATCCAAAGGTAAGCTAGAACACATGTAATCATGGCTTAAGTCAATGGCCTTGTGTACACCTAATTGAAAAAATGTAGTCGGGTTGGAGAAGGTCATATCATCAAAGCTAAGACTGAAAAGGATTTTGGGTACTCTGAAATGTGTATTATATTTGCATATAGACATGTAAAAATGCACAGTAGAGCAAAGTCGGTCAACCTAGATAAACAACATGCCAAAGCCATGATGCTTAAAATGTGCACAGGAAGGGAAAACTGCAATGCACATGAAATTAGCATAATTGTTTGTCTTCCCATGCTCCCCTTCGGTCTTAGCTTTGATGATATAACCTTTTTTTGAACCCGACAACGTTTTTTCAATTAGGTGTATTGTAGATAAAACAACATGAATGTGTCAATCTATTATGATTATTTACCCATTCTGATTAGTTCAGTTGATTGATTGATTGAGCATGAGTCAATGTGCTTGGAAGTCGTAATTTAAATCCCATGTTAATTAGCATCCATATTTGTTTTAAATAGCAAGACAAAAATCTATGATTGAAGTCGTTTTACTTCGTGATCCTAGGGATGCTTGTGAGAATCCTGATCCTCAATACAAGGCTTAAAATAATGGCTGGTAAGTCACCAGTCATGGTGACTGGCCAAGTAAGTTTTAGCTTGGTCATATCACTTTCTGGCTCAACGTTACTGGTCAAAATTATCGGCAATACAAAGATTTGACCTGATAAGTTCCAATTCTGGGCAGACATGGTCCAATGTCCAGCTGTTATTTTAAGCCCTGCTATATCTGGAGACAAAATACCTTAGGTCTAGGGTAAACATCGAACTTTCCATGCACTGAACCCATTAAAAACAATGGATATCAGGTGATAATGAGGCGGCATTCTTTGATGCAATTAAGTTCGCTGCATGGAAAGTTGGACTTTTGCCCTAGGCCTTACTTTATACACATGAAAAAATTTCTAAAAAACATAATGGTTTTTAGAATGGTAAATACAGTAATTTCCATTCAAAAAACATAAATGGAAAAACAGAATACTTCCCGTTTATGGATTATATAATAAAAAACATTAAGAGAGAATTCTTTTGGTATTCAAGCAGTGAGCGCCAAAAACTATTCTAATGAAGAAAAGCTGTTGAACAAGGCTAAAATCTTATTATTCAGAAAGTTTAACTTGTTTGGAAGTGGAGATGACCAATGAAAGTGGAATCAAAATGTTAACCCAAAGCAAAAATTTTATTCAAAAATGAGGTTTAGGCCTTCATTTGCTTATTTCCTATTTATTTTCTATAAAAAAGCCAGACAAAGCAACATTCTAACACAAATGCAACAAAACATATTGGTACTGTACAATTGAAAATACTGCTTCAAACAGGCATTTTATCATAATACATCAGTTTCTAACTGTTTAAAAAAGGTTTTGAGTGTTAACCCAAAACCAAAATTAGGATCAAAACTCAAACGAACGTCTAGATTTTGACACTTTTTGCAATTATTGCTCATTATTGAAAAACATTTCCTCTTAATGGTTAGTAAGCTGAAACAATGATGTGTTTGACTTATAATACATTAATGTATGGTTCTCCAACTTCTCATAATGGTTTTTCCATGAAAGTACATATAAATGGTTTTTGGATTGGCACTTTGGATTGGCACATTTTATAATTCACTCCTTCATAACAAATAGTTGGCAAATAGTTGAAAACAAGTTTGTTGTAGGATCTTTAACTCTGCTTATAAGCTATTTCCACTAAAACTCATTACATCTGCTCTGAAAGTTGCTCTGAAAGTCATGATCAGTAGACCATCTTTATTTATGCAGTCCAATTGGTCCACAATCTCCAATAGTTGATAAGACATTCAATTAGTGCTGAATATCATGCGAATTATCTCCAGAACAAGCACGGTGACCCCAAATCCAATATCTTTCATCAATGAAAGTATGGAAAAAAGTTTAACGTTGGAACATTTGCCTGCAAACATCCTTAAGAAAGAAAAACAATAGTCTGCTTGGGAATTAGCTTAACATTCACATGTATTGCTTATAATACAACATTGCATTTTCAATTTCCCAATGCTGTGATTTCTTCACATGGTTTACGATTAATTGGAAATTATTAACTATTGTTGCTTTTAGAGCAAAAACATGTATTGCTTATAATACAACATTGCGTTTTCAATTTCCCAATGCTGTGATTTCTTCACATGGTTTACGATTAATTGGAAATTATTAACCATTGTTGCTTTTAGAGCAAAAACCATTATATGTCTTTAGATTCTAAAATGCCGTTGTTGTTAACTTGAAGATCATTAATGTTTTATGTACAATTTCCATGAATGTTATCAAATTAACATCCATGTGTCTCAATAAAACACATTAATTAATTAATTCCTATATATTTTTATGATTTATGTTATAGGAGGAAGTGATGGTTTACGAAAGAGTTTTATTACAGACAATCAAATTTGACTTACAAGTAGACCATCCATATTCCTGTCTTCTCAAGTTTGGAAAAGCACTTAAAGGTGTGATTACAAATAATTTAAAGTCACATGTTGTGATGTCCACTTACATAATACTATACTCAATAGACCCTTTTCCAGTTCCAAATTACTGCTGTGTTTCTTGATTACAGACTCATTTACTCAGGCTTAGCCTCAAATCAGTGTCTAAATATTCACAAATACCAATGGTAAAGTAAAGAATGCACAATAATAATACAAACACTTTAAGACTTAATGGACCTTGACTGGAACACATGAATATTCTTCACAAAATCGAGGCTAAGCCTGAGTAAATGAGTCTGTAATCAAGAAACACAGCAGTTATTTGGAACTAGAAAAGAGTCTATTACCCCTCCAGTATTTTAATTTACCTAATCATCCACATGGAAATCAAAAACTCACATACAAACTTGACCTGCGAAAACCAAAAGACTGTGTTTCATTTAAAAGCAAATCAGCTTTTATGAGAGAAATCTTACCATTGTTTAATAATTGATACCAGGTGATAGGGAAAAATTGAACAAGCTTGTACAGATGGCATGGACCTTTATTAATGATAGGTTAGTTCATACTGAGATGAGTCTCTTAGCCTGCATAGCGGCTCTTGGGGAGGGGGTTTGGTCGGTAGTGAGCATTTTATACTTCTCGTTGATTCATCATGATCACTTGTGCTTAGTTTTGAATGAAGGTACTTGATAGTTTTGTGAGCATTTCTAATTTTCCTGCCACAAGGACGACAGATTCGTTCTGACTTGTTGCTTTTTTCCAAGTCAATACCATACCTATTTCCCTACAAAATGCTTGCGAGAAAATCAAACCTTTTCTCTCCTTCCTCCCTGGTGGTTTGAATAAATTTTCAAACTAACACTTTGTGGTTGATATGAGATCAGCAAGGCAAATTCTGCATTCGTCGTTTAGATTCAACGGTGCTCTGTTTCTTACAACCTTTGTCGGATTAGTAAACAAAATATTTGACAAAATTGTAATCTTCAAGTAAATCGGTGTTTTGATTTTGATTTAGGATATAACAAGCCGACGAACGCACATGTTACAACATGTGAAAGTGACAGAAGTTTGTTTACTTCTGGTGAAATCTGATTGGTGGAAATTGATATGCTAATGACGTGATAAGTAAGCATATACACAAACATATAAAAAACCTAGGGGTTGCAAGCAGGCTCTCCCTTCCGTTCCCTTTTGCTYTGCCCCCTTGTCCCAATCCCCCTCCCAAAGAGCCGCTATGCAGGCTATGAGTGAACTTTCAATAATTATTAAAAAATATAACGTTTTGCATTATATCCTTTATAATCCATGCTCCCTGTGGGCACAAATGACCTTAAATCATGCACAAATGACCTTTAATCGGAGAGATCTTGTACAGAGGAAATTGTTCACCTGGCAACTAACTGTGGTGTCAAACTCTACTTTGACCAAAATTGCAATATCTGGACTCATCACAAGATCTGATGAGATTATTTGGAGAAGAAAAGAAATTCTTAGAAAAAAATCTAGAACTTTACCCTATCTAGAAATGCTTGGGGAACAACTTCAACACAAGTGTATATTTCAAATTGAAACCATGTAATGTGTAATTTAGCATAAGGACTTGCTTTTCTGTCTTTTCTGAAAGAGGGACAGACATGTAACCCTTTAAGCCATTGATACAATTATCTGAACACTGTATTTATGTTACAGTCTGTCAACCACCCTGTGCTTGAGATATAAACCTGAAACCATTGCTGTCGCAATGCTGGCTCTAGCTGCCAAGTTCAACAATTATGACTTGCAGTCTGCTACTGGAGTTCAAGCCAAACACTGGTGGACATCGTTTGCAAAAAGTGTTAATGAAGGAACAGTCTCAGGTAACATTGACCTGCATAGAGCATTGTTGTCATCAATGTCTACACAAAAATTATTTTTGTTATTTGGACTCCCCATAGGGCTCTTCAGGTCAATTTACAAGCAATAATTAAATATTTAATGTATAAGAAAAAACCAAAATTTACAAAAAGTCATAAAAAGTAATTAGAAGTAGTAGTAGGGACCAAATAATAATAATAATAATAATAATAATAAATGATAATAATATCCTAACCCATCATGCCTTAACGCGGAAGGAAAAGAAATCCCCATCAAACAAGTTAGCACTGCAATCAAAGAACATAGTGGTTAGTAAATCAGAAACACCATAAAAGAAGAAAAGTGGCAAGGTAAACTAATGAGCCAACGATGGAATGATGATAGTGCTTTGGTTGGCTGAAGAAGTGGAACTCATGCCCCTCGCTTGTCATAGCAGGTATGCATGAACTTTATGAACAACTACTACCAACTAAGTTGTATTATGCCAAGAAGATTGGCTCAGCACCTGAAAATGACCTGAAGTGTAGACTGTGCAGAACTGACCTAGAAAGTGTTCCACACATTATAGCGGGATGTTCCACTTTGGCACAAACTAAGTATGTATGGAGGCATAATTCCGGCTTAATGATACTCTTTTTCGAGCTTCTTAAAGAGTATGGCTTGGTTGATAGTGTACCACCTTGTTGTTCGCCCGTAGTCCCCAAGTCTCTGTACGAAAATGAGGATGATCAAGCTTTTTGGGATGTTCAACACAACAACAAAATAGACGTTTTAGGAGGATATTCAACAGACTTGGAAGAGTGCATGAGCAAGCTCTTGGGAACAAAAAGAGGAAGTGACACACTTATAAAAATGCAGAAAGCTGTCATTTCATCTACACTAAACATTGCACGTACTTTCAAATCACTGCACTGAACATTGAACATTATAATTATATAGATTTATAGTCATTTATTAGGTTGTTATAATTTAGCTTAGACTTAGACTTTAGTACTTTGAGATATAGATCCAAATCTTTTTTTTTTTTTGATAAATACTTGTATTTAATATAATAATTATTCAGATTTTTACCTATAGTTTTTATTAGAATACGTAATTATATAATATTATAAGGAGACAGTACCTACAAAAGAAGTTAAATTAGATTAAAATTAGCTATATAATATTTAATATAATTTTAAGCAAATCACAAATWATTGAAGGATTTAGAACTAATCATTKTTATTTAGATCTTCTAATTCAA